AGCGGGACTTAAGAAAGTTTCATAGACTGATATACCCTGGTCTTCAGTGTAATTAGCAATCGGTTTTGCTTTCTGCCATCTTAATTTACTGATTTCTCTTCCTTTCGTACAAATAGTGCTCAAATCTCAGCTCAGGGGAAGTTTTAAATTACCAAATGTTGCCAAATCACTCAACCCCCACTGGTCGTGGTAGATGGCCGCCCCTCCCTGAGCCTGGTTCTGCTGGAGGTTTCTTCCTGCTAAAAGGGAGTTTTTCCTTCCCACTGTTGCCAAAGCGCTTGCTCATAGGGGGTCATTTGATTGTTGGCGTTTTCTTTGTATTCTTGCAGGGTCTTTATCTTACAGTATAGAGCACCTTGTGGCTAATGTTGGTGCTATATAAATAAAATTGGATTCAAATGAATACTGAGTTATTCCTACTTAATGCTGTGAAATGAAAACAATACTCTGCTTTAAGTGTTATGAGTGCATAAATGCTAATAAGGCCTGACTTGGATTTCTGTGGGGAGTCTTTACAGTTTTCTTTACAACTAAACCTACATAAATGGCTGACGTTGTCGCAGGTATTTATGTTTGTGCTGGTGCTTTGTGTTAATTATCTTGTGGTTGTGTCCCAGCTGAGAGAAATAAATAAAATGCTGGAACTTTATTTCCCCCTGGGTCTCCCTTCTTTCTGGGGATTTATGCTTCAGCAGGAAAAATACGGTATCTATGTCGTAACTACAAACCGCTCAAACGGCATAGCCTTACGTACGCCGCCCGAGAAATGTAGCTACATGTCAAGTTGGCACAGCCTCAAAATATTGTGAATTGGCCTGTTCATCATTGTTTCCTCCTATCTGCTTTTTTGCTGCACTTTTTGAATTTATCAATGAGAGGATAACAATCATCCTCTCAATAAAAGGAATAGCAACCATAGCATCAACATAAGGATTCACAAATGTCAGCAAATTCTTGAAGGGTAATCGTGGCAATTGTCGTATACGAGGGAAATATACAAAGATGTGGAAAAGCGTGAGGGACAACAATGTTAGCCCCTGAAGGGGGAAAAACCTGACCATAACAAAGGCCTGCTTTAGACTTCCACAGGTAGACTTTGTAGAGCTCAGAGACCATAGGGTTTTTATAGGAGTTTGAGGTTACGACGTATCAGAAGCATAAATCACCAGTAATTGGTCATTTTAGCCTAATGGTAGGTGGTTGCTTGGCCATATGGCCTATATGACAGAGAAGCACCTTCAGGGGCAGACATACCTGTATGCCAAGTTTGTCTGCGTAACTCTTGATCGTGTAGGAGTATTTTGCAGACAGAGATTTTAAAGATTTTGTTATAGTGAGTTAGAAATTGTTTTCATAAAAGGTGTATTGTGCTGCATAAACCATATACCAGAAGTATGAACATGTGCTGTTACATTCACTGGATCTTTGTAGTAAAGGTATAAAAGTAGTAATTCTACATGTGCACTTTGAATCATCATAGATAATATAAAAAATGAAGAAAGTTTGGTCTGTAGCCAAATTTTTGTCCACCTCCACCCACACCCTTTCTTTCCCCTAACCTCTGTACGCATTCTGGTACAGAAATTTGCTTGCTTGAAGGACTGCAAATGTAACCTTGGATACAAAAAATGTCAGGAAGACTTTGTATTACAGCCATGCTTTAAGAAGCTCTGCTTTATAAAGTAGTGGTCTCAACTGCACCATGTTTCTGTCATGTATTTGTATAGAATACTATGAATGGAGGGGGGTATCTGTCAGATTTAATTTTAGATGGACTCTCCAGGTTGGTAAAATAGTGCAGTGAAAAATTTCGAGAAAAAAAAAATCTTAATTTAACATGAATAGGATGTAGGAGATTATTAATAGCTGTAAAACATAAAGAATCAAAGGCGGTAACTGTCCTGTGTTGTTTCCCCAGGACTCCAGTGTCACACAGCTGACTCAGGACCTTGCCAAAACTTTGGGGTTGAAAATCCGTAAAGCTTATGTGAGGAGTAAGGTATGGATGTATGATGACAAAGGGGACCTGTTAGGTTTTTCAGAATTTTCTTTATTTTTTTGTATATCCGCTAATTAAGCAATGACTTACAAACCCTGCTTCTGGGTCCAAGCTCCTACTGTGTTCATTAAGGCTGTTCTCTTTTTTACATGCTGCAATGCTCTGTATATTTTTTTTATTTATAAACAAACCCCTTAAAAAATTCCTGTGATTGTTGTATGCTTCTCTAGCTGTTCATTAGCACAGTTCATATGCATCACATCTTTAGGCTTAGTTTTTAAAACCCTGCGATGTAACTATTCTTCACAAAAGAATATCTCTGAGGCTCAGTAGGTGCATGACTAACCCTGTGTTGTGGATCGATCATCACAGGCATTCTCTTGACTGAAGTTTGGTCTGTTTTCAGCATCTTTTTCACTGCCACATGATTGCATCTGTCTCTGCCCAACAGGGACACTCAACTTAACGTTCATCCTCCATTCCTGTTTAGTTTTCAGTCTCCATTGATGTTCAAAGAGAGAGCAGAGCTGCACGTTTTTGTTTTTTTTGTTTGTTTTTTTTATTTATAAATCCCTCTGTCAGAACAAGGTGGATCAACTTTAGATGGAAACTAGCAAGCTAACTTCCTGCTGACTTTAGGTTCTGTTACACTTCAATCCTGTAAAGCCTCTTTTTCATGGATACCTGGATGTTAAACTTTATCGTAACACGTGGGAGAGCAACCACACGGAACATTTTATTGACAAGTTAGGGCAATTTTAACTCTGCGATATCAGTGTTTGTTTGAGTTTGGACCTGGAAATGATGATGATGTCAGACTTAAGGCAGCTAAAATATTTGACATAAACGTGTAATCCCTACAATCCAAAAGCTCAGGATTCAGAGTGCACTAAAAGTTAAGCTTGAGTCAGATTTTACAACTTTTGGCTTAACGTGATGCTAATCAGTTGCTTTGCTTACTGCAGTTGTCCCTGTCTGTGAGCCCACACCTGCTCTCCACACATACTCCACCTGACCACCTGTTGTTTAGACTTTCTGTTCACAATGGAATAGCCACTCAGAACAAAGTTTGCTTAAAGGAAAAGGAGCTAAAACTGCTCTGTCCAAAAAAAAAAAACAGCTTGGAGCATAATGGGTCTCCGGTTACGCTCAAAACATGTAAAACCACTCTGATTCATGGAGGTGGTTTTCAATGAATTGCTGTGTTAATCGAATGATAAGGAAGTGAATTCATAAAAAGATTTTATTTATTTATTTACAGCCTGCCTTGAATGTTTTGAGAGGATCAAGTTATCAAGATGCGTCATGTGACAAGGTAAGCAACCTCAGCCACACAAAAGAAAATATGTAGCAGTAGTTTTCCAAGACACAAGGTGATCAATAACAATTTGTATTTTCCAGTTTTCTTATGGCTCAGATTCGGTTGAAAATATAGAAATTGGTAAGTTTTGGTCCTTGATAACCTTTTTATTTGCATATCAAAAGATGCCAGGGCTAAAATCACTCAATCTGTCCATCCTGTTATGTGTTTTTTAGAAGTGCCTCAGTTAACCCAGGATAGCAGTGTTTTGACTCCAGGACCAGCTCCCATCCAACTTCCGGTGGCAGTGCACCCACCTCTGAATGAAGCAGTGGTGGATGAACTCCCCTCTACCAACAATATTTCATCTGTCCCCTCATCTGAACCTCCAGGCTTCGAATCTGTCGCCCTGCCTGTGTCTGCATCCACGTCCGATCCCCTCCCTGCACTCACATTCGTAAATGGGTGCCGAGCCAGTAAGCCTTACCCAATTCTTGATACTAGTCAAGATTTTGATACGGACATCATTGGGGACGACCTAGATGATCTTCTGGACCAAGCTGGCCCCGAATCTACTATGGTTAGTTAGCAGAATCCCTGGCAAATCAATAAGACAGTGAGTTTATATTTGAACAGACGTGTGACTTTCCCTAATCTCCTCTGTCAGGTTATTCCTACGGTGAAGGGGCCTCTTCCTTTACCTGCCAGTATTGCCTCAGGCAGTTCCATGTCAAGTCCATTCCTGATGCCATCGCACATCAACCCTTTTCTCCCCAGTGGTCCACATCAGTGCACTGTAACGCTGCCGCCTCTCTATCACAAATCGGGGTCAAGTGCGTATTTTGGTATGGACACTTTTGACCCCATTTCACCACCACTGGACTCTCTGGATAGTCTCAGCATATCAGACTTTAAACCAGGTATGCTACTTTACCTCTTTACTTGGGCTAAGATCACTATTTTTCCATCTGTATCAGATACACAAATAAGCATTTTTTCCCCTCCTACTGTCACAGTTTCAGATTATGCTCCAAGTGGATTCCTTCCACAGGTAATTACTGATTATCAATAATATCGAACCATCATCAGTTCAATCTTTGTTACAGGCTCATATCACATTGTTTTTCTTTGTTATTACAGATCAACAATAATCACACCCCAATGGGGATGGCTGTGGGTATGCCTGATGTAAAAGGCCTCCCTGCTGCTGTTGATTTAGCAAAGAACCCCCTAGCTGAAACGCATGAATTCAAACAAGCCTGTTCAGTGTGCTATGTCAAAACTGGTGAGGAATTGTTTTGACAGTACACTTATTTAACTGTCTGCTTTTTCTTCTGCTGTAAGCTCAAATTTGTCACCGTCTTTGAGGATGGGATGGGAAGTGGGGTTTGGTGTAACTTGTTTCATATTTTCTCTATTCACAGGGCCTGGAGTGTTGGATTACACACTTCATACGGAAGACCATAAATGCAAAAAGGATGTATTACTTGGCAGAATCAAGCATTTGCCAGACAAAACATGGAAACTCATTCGACCCAGACCAACAAAAACTCAATATGTTGGACCTTATTACATTTGCAAAGGTTAGTTAATTTATTTTTAGTATAAATGCCTTTCTCACAACCTGTTTCATTTATTTATGTTGATTCCCCAAAGCATGGATGGGGGAACTCTTGGCCTCATGGGCCGGTGTCCTGCAGGTTTTAGATGTGTCCTTGATCCAACACAGCTGATTCAAATGGCTAAATTACCTCCTCAACATGTCTTGAAGTTCTCCAGAAGCCTGGTAATGAACTAATTATTTGATTCAGGTGTGTTAACCCAGGATGATATCTAAAACCCGCAGGACACCGGCCTGGAGTTCCCCACCCTTACACTAAATCAAAACATTAATTTACGTTTGTTTTGCCAAGAAATACCTGAATTATCAAAGCTCTTTTTGCACATTTGCATTGTTACATTGCACTTATTTTGTTATGCTCATCTTCAGCTCCGCATTGTTATTGTTTGATAACTTTGCAAAAAAACCTTAATTATCATATAATTACCAGTTCAGCTCCTCTCCCTTTTAAGGCTACGCTGTCTTTAAACTTTCTTCTGATTGGTCGCCACTCCCAAATAGAAGTTTGGTCTGTATTTTATTTGATCATCCATCATTTTAACTGTATACATGACATAGAAAATAAGGAAAAGCTTAATAGCCCCACTTTAAACTCGAATCATTTGCCACCTTTTTACAGAGACTGAATAAGATAAGAAATCCCTCTTAGTAGGTCCCATTCCCTCTTTGCTTGTTTACACTAAAACCAACAAATGTGGCGTAATGCTGTCCCAGTGTGCGTTTTCAGAAAGCTTGCCAGCATTCTGAAATCAGAGGCATGACGTGTATTACAACAGTGTCTAGTGTAGCGTGTCCCCCCCACACTGGCTTTCTCATGAACACAGATGTCAGTTCAGCTCTGTGACTAAGTCTGCCTCTGGCTTAAAGGAGCAACAACAATATGCCCCATTCCCTCTCTGTACCTTTCACTCAGAAAAGCAAGGCAGGAAAAAATCATGCAACAGCACTGCTATTTCCTGTTTTATTTTACCTACTTATCCCTACTGAACATGTACACATTTATCTTCAGAGGAACATCTGTAACATGTTTTATGACTGACTTTGCTTCTAGCACTCTTTGTGATAATAAAACGTGACCTTGCGTGTTGCAGAGGTGGCTGTTGGAAAAGATTGCTTGTATCCTGGCCACTGCACATTTGCATACTGCCAAGAAGAAATTGATGTTTGGACTCTGGAGCGGAAAGGATTTATTTCCAGAGAACTGCTCTTCGATCCTTTTGGGCCAAACTCCAACATCAGGTTGACTGTTCCCAAGATCTTGCAGGAGCATCATGGGATATTCATGTTTCTCTGTGGGGTGTGTATTTTGATTTAGTGTCTTATCCAAAACTAGTGTGGATGTATGCAAGGCATGACCAGTACTTCTGGTTAAGTTATATTAAAGTGCCAAATGTTCGTTTTAAAAAAATTTATATTTTCGGTTCAGTGTTTTAAAAGTAATTGGAAATACAAATTCAAGGGGGAAAAATCCTCACATTTAATATTATGCTAAATGTTTTGGTGCGAAACTGTTTTGTTTCAAATAAATGTGCTGATGCACAGATGGTGAAGTAGGATATCTATCAGTGTGCATTCATCTCATAGACTGTAGTGATAGTGTTGTAGTGCTGCTGCATGTGGCCATGTGGGGATTTGTTTGTTTGTTTTTTCCTTGTGAGTTGAGGAGAAAATCTTTGGCCTCGTTGTAAATTGATTCTTTTGCTCAAATATGTTAAATGCAGAAAACAATGCAGACATTTATGAAATGAATAAACTGGCTCATTTAACCACAGTAGTAAATATATTTTTCATTTTCATTGGAATGGAATGCGAGACACTTTTTATGCTGCTCACGTTTTATAGGTGATCAAAGTGTGTATAGCATAAAAGTGTGTATATATAGTTTATTGTCTTGTTAGTTTAATGCCTAAAACAGATATTTTATGGGAAATGTGCTGTTCTGCAGGTGTGCTTTGACCACAAACCCAGAATAATCAGCAAGACCAACAAAGATGACCCTTCAGTTTGTTCTCATCCTGTGACAAAGCATGACTTTGAGGATCATAAGTAAGTCAATCACCATTTCAGCACATGAAACCATCCTCATTTTATTTGTGACTTAAAGGATTTACTCTTACAGTGTTTAGATCTTAGAATATGAAGATATTCTGGAAATACATAAGAATTATCAGATTATCAGTTTGATCACTCTGTTTCTTTTTGAAGGTGCCTGGTCCACATTTTGAAAGAGAATACAGTCCGGTATTCCAAAATAAGACCCTTGAGTCCCCATTGCCAGCTGGATCTTTGTCGCCACGAAGTCCGGTACGGTTGCGTGAGAGAGGATGACTGTTTCTACGCCCACAGCCTCATCGAGCTGAAGGTCTGGATGATGCAGCACGACCTTGGTAAGACTATTCTTTGAAAATGATACAAGAACTGGGTGGTATTGCATCTGAAATGCTCCCTTTTCTTTCCCATAAAAGATTGTCATTTTAAATGCTGTTTTTAAAAAATAAATCAAATTACATGGATATTTGGTTTTCTGGATTACACAGGTATCACTCACGAAAACATTGTCCAAGAGGCTAATAAGTTTTGGAATGCAACAGCTTCATTGCAGGGAGCTCAGGTAAAACCAGTGTTTTGTTTTTTTCCCTTTCTCTAGTAGGTATTTCTACATTAAACATACATAAAATAACAATAAGAAGAATTTTATCGATCCCAAAGGAAAATTCCTGTCTCTGACATATGAATTTAAGGGTTAAGTTAAAACATTTCTGTTTTACATTTAACAATAAGGAAATGAAGAACCCGTATTTTAGACCGTGTTTTGCCCTGAATTAAAGTACAGTGGAGGAAGTAATTGTTTGATGCTCTGCTGAATTTCTTTTTTGCTCACAAAGAAATAAACAGTCTCTAATTTTTATGGTATATTCATTTTAATGGAGACAACAATTCAATCAAAACAAAAAATCGATTGCATAAATTGATTTGCGTGTCAATGAGTGAAATAAGTATTTGATACCCTACAGCCCAAACAGAATTCTGACTCCCACAGATTGGGCAAACAGCCATTTAGTCAGTTACAGATACTTGTGCTCTCACAGAGCCCTTTTCCACTAGTAAGTACTTGGGTCAGCTCTGCTCAACTCAACTCATTTTTAAGGGCTTTCCATTAGGTGATAGTACCTGGAACCTTTTTAGTACCTACTTGGCTGGGATTCCAAGCAATCTGAGGCAGTCCGACCATGTGACCGCATGCCACTGATTGACGTCACTTGATCAGTCATGAGAGCATCTCCTTTATGAAAATAAAAACAGCCATTTTTGAAACCCGGCAGCAAGGGAAATTGCTACAAATAAAACAACACCATGGTCCCTACATACACCAAGCAGCAGGTATGCCATCTCCATCGTTGTGGTGTTTGTGTTGCATACAAATGACGTCATAGGACTTTTCGCTACGTTGCTATAATGACCCCATGCACATTTAAGTGGTGCGCCGTTGAAATGGAAAACATCTTGAGTCAAGTAAGTACTAGTGGAAAAGGGCTAAGAAATGTCTTCCATTACAACCTTTCCACCACCAAGACCAAAGGGCTGTCAGAGGATGTCACTGACAAGACTGTAGACCTGCACAAGGCTGGAAAGACCATCAACATGTACAGGCCTATCTTAAGTTTGCCAGTGAACCTCTAAGTGTCTAAGAGAAGGCGAGACGAGAACCTCTTTCTCTCAACCAGAACACTGAAGATGGGTAGTGGATGGGTCTTCCTGCATTACAGTAATCCAAAACACATTGCCAACAGACAAAGAAGTGGCTAAAGAATCATATTAAGGTCATGGAGTGGCCTAGCCAGTCTCTAGTGCTAAATCCTATAGTAAATCGGTGGGAGCTCAAGCTTTGAGTTGCCAACTGGCAGCCAAGAAGCCTAAAGGATTCAGACAGCTTCTATAGAGAGGAGTAGGCCAAAATCCCTCCTGAGATGTGTGCAAACCTGGTGACCAACTACAAGAGGCTGCAACAAGGGTTTCTCCACCAAGCTGTAAGATGCTTTGTTTGGGGATTCAGTGTTATTTTACTCAATGATATCCAAATCGGTTTATAACTTATATGTAATGTGGTTTTTATGGATTTGTGGTTGATATTCTTTCCATTAAAATGACAGTACTACAAACATGACACATTGTTCATTTCCTTGTAAGTGAGCCAACTTACTTGATCTGCTGCTGAGTTTGTAATTATTTTCCCCACGCTAAGCTGTTGCCATTGTCATTAGCCTTGCAGTATATACATTCCTTTAATTCTTTTAGTTGTTTCATTGTCGCGAAGGGAAAATTTATATTTAGTCACAGATTTTAACAAGTCCTTCAAAATATAATCAGCAGCTTCCCAGTGCACTGAGAAGATTTGGACCTCCGAATCTGAAGATGATGTTTGTTTGTGGCCAGTGCTGGAGAAACGGCCAACTAAGTGAAGCTGACAAAAACAAGAAGTATTGCACAGCCAAGGCAAGACACACGTAAGTATTTGGATGTCTTTGTGTATGTGGGGGACTACAATCCATTATGTCATTATTGAGTCACGCTGTCTTTCTGTCTCAGGTGGGCAAAAGACAGGCGGGTGGTGCTTGTAAGTTCCCATGAAAGGAAAAAGTGGACAACTGTAAGACCGCTTCCAACCAAAAAACCCATTCCATCTCAATTTGAGGTATGTTTCCAGCACAGTCTTCCCATCTTATATTTGCCAGACATATAATATATTCAGATTTCGAATAATGGAGACCAAATGTTTTCTGGTCTCTGTTTAGATTTGCATGCATGTGACAGCTGGCAAGAAGTGTCAGTACATTGGGAACTGCACATTTGCTCACAGTGTGGAAGAAAGAGACCTTTGGACCTACATGAAGGAAAACAACAGTGAGTTTTGTTGAAGCGATTGGCTCTCTTAATGTGTAAAATTTAATTGGTGAATGTGATGTGGCAAACACATTTTATCCCCTCATTTAGTTGGAGATATGGATCAACTTTATGAGCAATGGCTGCAGTCTCAAAGGCCTGGCTGGGGTGATGAAACTTCCACTAACTCAGTCAGAGAAAATGGGAAACAGATCCACATGCCAACTGACTACGCAGAGGAAGTGGTGAGTTGATAAGTTAGTGGATATGAAATGTAGCTCAGTGGCATCTAGTTAATATTGTGCTCAGGGATGTTTGCAGCTAGACTATTAAATTGTGGTTCTTTCCCTAATTTGCAAGTAAACTGCACTACCTGGTAGTTTAATCATTCCTATTTCATTAATGTATAACAACACGGTATTTGTGTGGATGCTATTTCACCTTGTTTTTTAGATTGTCCCTAATTATTCCTGTTTCCTGGTGAGTTCTGCCTTTTAGATAAGTTGGCAGTTTTTAATCGACTAGTACACTAAAGTGTACTTGGACTGAGTGATGTATACATGCCAGAATACATTTGAGTGCTGTGCATTATGTCCTGGCTCGCTTTTCGTTTTGGGCCCAGGTGTGGTGTGATAGGTAGTATGAAGGTTAACCAAGCCCAAGCGTGGACCATAAATTGCCCAAATTAAGCCAAAGAGTGCATAAAGTTATGAATCTCATTGTGTTCATACATACTTGGAAGGGGTGTCTGAAAGAGAGAGTGAATGGGCGATCGAAATGGGAGCTGAAATAGTAAGAATTATACTTGGGCATAGATCCTTAAACAGAATGTGAGTTTGGGGTAGAATTGAGAGGAATAGCTATGTGGGGACTGGAGTACAAGCCTGTGCTTACTTTAAGTACACTCTTGGGCCTGGATTATATTTCCTGCGTCCGTGTGATCGCTAAAGTCTGTGTGATATAAATTAGTCATCAGACTAGACTGAGTTATGAGGATGTGGATGTCTGTATTTTTTTTGTGGCTGTGTGGATTCGTATATAAAGAATTTGCATTATAATGCACTAGCTACACATGCGCCCCAGGCAGCATACTTCAGAATTATAAGCGGAAAGTCTATTTGTGTCCTATTCAGTAGAATGTAATTGAGGCTTTGTTCAGTGGCAACATCCGTAATTATGCATCCTGAATTATGAATGTTTTATTTAATTTTTTTTTTAACTGGAAGCAAAGCCAGTGCTGAATTTCGTTAAGTGTGCCTTTTTATTTATTGGCCATGAGGTCAAAGGTCAAATCCTGTATAAGTCTATGGAAAACTATCCTTCAAGCTGACCTCTGTAAAAGGCGTTCTTGTCGAGTTCAACAAGCTCTGTCACTTAAGTTTTATTGTATAGAACATTAAGTTCTTTTTGGAAATGTTGCTTATTCTAAGCATTGTGGCAATTATCCAGGGTTTCTGCTTGAATAGGTGTTAGCCAATTAGCATATGGTTTTACAATCCTATTCGGACGGCACTCGTCGCATCCAGCTTTAATTGAACAAGATGGCCAGTGTGAAAGTTTTATGTAACAGGGCTTCGCCAAATAGTGGGTGATACCATGATTGCTAAATCCATCATTTATCCTGTCTTTCATGAAAGTGTTTTCATTTAACAACAATGTTATTCTGTTCCTAGTGCTATTTATTGATGAAGCAGAAAATAGTTGGATCTAGTGTGTCTACCCTGCATATTTTGGTGAAATTTCTAAAATGTATTTATTTGTTAATTAATTAAATGGAATTGTTTCTGCAGGCTGGCAATCATTGTTGGCTCTGTGGTAAAAACTGCAACAGTGAGAAGCAGTGGCAGCAGCATATCACTTCAGAAAAACACAAAGAACGAGTTTTCAACTCTGAGGATGATCAGAATTGCTGGCAGTATCGATTTCCCACAGGCACTTTCAAAGTTTGTGAGAGGTAAGTTTATCAGAAACAACGCGTACTATGTGTCTTGTTACGAGTCTGATTGTTTTCGATGGTTGACATTTGCTGTCACTTTTTGGCAGGTTCCTCAAAGGCACGTGCACAGAGGATGACTTGTGTAAGCTGGCTCACGGGGAGCAGGAACTAAAAGAATGGAGGGAGCGCAGGGAATTCCTTTTGATGAAACTTGCCAAAGCCACAAAAGACCATCTTATAGCACCAAATGACAATGACTTTGGAAAATACAGTTTTCTGCTTAAAGACATTAAATAATGACGTGATCACAATATTCATGCACACTTGCAAATGATGCAGTATTCAGTCTCGAATCAGGTCATCTTTGAGGGCCTCTGACGTGCACAGGAAATAGCCTGATCACAGCATGATTTTAAAGGAGGGCATACAGGACAGGCCCCCTGAATGATGGCTGTTTGCTCTGATCAGAATTACAGGAGTGTTATCATTAAAAGCAAATACTGAGTGTTAAAACACTTTCCAGAAGCTTTGCAGTGCACCATTCTGTCATACCTGAAAATGGTGGGGAGGGAGGAAGCATGAGTAAACCTTGATCAGAGTCATGTTCAGATTCTTACAGTTGACCTAAACAAATTTTTTTTCCCCCACAAACAGTTTGTATATGTTAATGACCTTTTACTGTTTTAAGTATCAATTACTTAAAGAGTTGAGTTGACATTCTTTTATTTTAATCAGTAAGCATAGGTCATCTTCACTTTCCATTTATCTAATAGTGTTACCAATGTAATGGGCACCACACCAAATAAAGCTCCTTTTTTAATCTGTTTTGAAATGGCTTTTATTTAAGCATACACATGCCCAATTCCAGTAACTAAATACAGAAAAGGTGTCCATCTCACTGTAATCATTATGAAAGCAGTTTCATACATTGTTGATTGTTGTATTGTCTTATAATGGTCCATATATTACAAGCCTGTATGTTACAGGTAACATTGTTAGAGTTGAACTAAAATCATTTACATTAAACACAAGTTCAGAGCAATCCTCAGTGATGGCTTTATACACAATGGGGAGTTTTGAACTCTCATGTCAATACTGATGCAGTGTTTTAATAAAGACCTGATGCATTATTGAAAAGTTATTTGACCATGTTTACTTAACAAAGGTATTCTGAAAAAGAGTCAAAACCTCAAAACGGTACTAGTACAATGAAGATTTTTTTTTTTTTTTGGTCAAGGTTAAGTTATCCATCTAACAGCTCCAGTGACAACTTTGGATTAGGAGCCACACACCAGTTTTCTTAATCACTTGACCTCCATCAAACAAGTCCAGCAGAAAGGAAAGTCATCTTTTAAGTCTGCTGAGGTAACATTTGACACTTCAGTAGTATGTAGCAAGCTACAGGAGGAGGAGCACTTCAGCCCAGCATTCAAGCCAGCACCTGCTGCAGGTCATCCACCTCAAGCTTCCACATCCGTCTGTGAAGTGCAGCAAGCTCCGAGAGGTCTGCCATCTTCACTGCACGGATGGCTGGTTCTGGTGAGATCGCCTGAATGATGCCCATCACCATGACATATTTCCCTGTAAGAACAGCAGCAAGTGAACTGTTGACCGACAGTGATTTCAACGGTAAATCGTGGTTGGAGAGATAAATCTGCCAGCTTGCTGCTACAGATTTTAGGATTAATGCTCTCCTTTCAGCCTAACAAGCTGTGCACTGATGAAAATATTCACATTAACCAGGATTCTCATGAATTCAATAACAGGCCACTAATATCTAGAGTGAAAATGATCTCATTTAAAAATTGTTGTTCAACTACAGCTTTTGAACTTGCAGTGTGTTAAAACCTTATTAGAATTTTAAAATACCGGTCTGAGTTAACAATAGTAGTTATACTTTTTATTTGTAATTAAAAGAGAGCCTATCCTGTTGATTTTTTTTTCTTCTATTAAGATACTTCATAATAACTCCTAGAATGTAATGTCATTTTGTGTTTGATTCTGTCACTAGATAAAAATGCAGTAAATGGGGACAAAGCTATATTTTTCTCTTTAACCAAACAGAATATACGTCCCCTTTCTAATTGGTCCCAATAATAATGACTAAGCAACAAAAGCAGTTTCTTTTCACTTACCGGTATATATGCCTAATAGCCAATAATTGTTCTGGGGGGGGGGTTAATTTTAGCTTCTGTGTGGATTGAAACAGAATCTAGCTTGGGTCTGGGTCAGTTACCTTGGGACAAGCACGGTTTCCCTTTGGGGATGTTGTTAACACCCTGAACAATGAAAGTCCCCGTCTCATCCATCAACAGCACGGTGTCTCTGTCCTGCTGGACTTCCAGCACAGTCCCCTGCATCCACACCAGCGAGACAGGCAAAGAGCGTCCCCTGCCCAGTCTAATTACACAGCCGGCCGCGCTATCAGCGGTGCCCCAGTTCCCTGCCGCCCTCAGCTGTCCCGACAGCACTTTAACAGGCGGGGGACGTGTCCTTTCCACGTCTGTCTTCTCTACTTTGGACATTACTGACAGACTGCTGCTGGCGTCAAGCGACGGACAACTTGCGACAGCGTTTTCATTTCCCGCCTCCCCACGAGTGGAAGTCGTGGCAGCACTCTTTTCCGGCAATAAAACACGTCCTCGCCTGATTCCTTCAGAGTAAAAGCATCAAAACTGAACTTCAATCACAGGCAGGTGAATAGGAGGCAGCATATGATAGAGGGGAAATTCACAGATAAAACACATTTAATTAGTGTAACTGTCATTTCCGTATTGTTTGTAAGCATCACAGGGGGGATCTCTGGGCATCAGGTCCATTTGTGAATGTTACAAAGTTTTAGTCTGCTGTGATAAAGAGCTAAAACCTTGTATAGAAATCAGCCTGACAAACTGTGATAATGAATGAAATGTACAGTAGTGTATGTTTACAATCCGACAATCCTGAAGCTATATTAAAAAAACAAACATGTTTTTTAAAACGGACAAAATAGAAAGTGTCTCCATTGGTATTTTTGTTTTTCTTTTAAATACTGATAGCCATTTATGCAAGATTGCTGCAAAATATGGCTTTAAAACAATTTGTTAAACTGAATTTGTGTTTGATTTCTTCAGTTTATGCATCTTCGTTATAATGGTTGTGATACTTTAATCAAAAATAATAAAGAAGGGAAACCAAGAAAAAAACATGTACATCTGAGTCCAAGGAGCAGCTCATTTTGTTATTTAAATCTGATGCATACTCCATGGATGCATAGGAATAGCTCTGACTGCAGCATAATATTCACTAAAGCCACATGGGAGGGGGGTCTCAACAACTGTTTTAGTTGCATATTATAGGGGTGAGTGATGCTGATTAATATTACTGTGAAAAACACTGCTTGAATAAACAAAATGAAAAACCACAAATTAATACTAATTAAACATACCAACAACTGCTGTTGTTCAGCTCCTAAAAATACAGAGCTGTTTATTAATCTGCCAAAAAGTGTTGAAGACTAATGAACACTACATAATGCCACTCTGGACATGACAATAATCATGACAAATGAGTTTATTACTAGAATTTATGCAACTCACCTCCGCTATGACAAGACTAATAAGTCATTTTGAGAAAGTTGCATAATGTGGTTTATAGATTCAGCTTCACTTCCACCCCTCATCGTGTAACTTTTCCTTGAAAATTAAGGGTTAGGAAGTCTGAACATTTCAAGTCCATAATAAAACTTTTTGTTGGCTGTTTAATACAAGGCAAGCACTTCACATCACTGCAGGGCTAATAACAGAGCAAAATCCTGGAGGAAAACATGCTGCGGTCTGCAAAAAAGCTGCTACTCTGGAGATTTATTTGTCTGCAAGACAATGACCCACAACAAGAAAGCCAAAACTGCACAGGATTGACTTTAAAGGTTCTGCAGTGGCATATTCCAGACCTCAATCTAATTCACAATTTGTGGCAGGACATGAAAATTGCTGCTTGTTCACAGCCTCTATTCCACTAGACAGCACGAGCAGTTTTTTGCCAAGAGAATTGGAAAGAACTGCATCTGTTCTTAAGTGTAAAACTTGGAAAAATAAAATAATGCAGACGAAGTTTGCGTGGATTTAATACTGAACGGAGAAGACAGACAGCAATGATCTGGCACATTCAATTCATTAAATATTTTTTTTTTATTTCTTTAAGAATAACTGAAGAAAAGTGTTAGCAATTTCTGTACATTTTTTTTGTAATTGTTTTCCCTTGGATTTGCTGAAAACCTTGAATGATCAACAGGGCTGAGAAATGTTATGCTGCCACATAGTGCACTTTAAACCTAAAAAGAATATGATTAGTCCACAGGCATCCGTCAGTGTCCTTGGAATACACTCCAAGAGGTTCCTTAAACTGCTGACACTGCTGACTCCAGTTTCATGTTATCATCTCCTCTCAATCCCAGTTCATCATTGTCAAAAAAGAGGCACATTAGAAATACTGCCATTTTCCAAGGACTGTGTCTTTGATTGCATCGACAAACTGTGCAGGCACCCAGTAGACCCAATACTGCGAAGCTTCCGTTGGACCCAGCTGAAAAGCCTGCAAAGGTGGAAGACAAACCGGTAAGTACATTAAGTGGTTTCAGAGGCATTTGCAAATGTAAACATGTATTGAGAATAAATAAACACATTGTGTCTTGTATAGATTTTTTAAAAGCAAATTTAATTTATAGAAAAAATAACTTATTTTGCAATAAATAAAATTCAACCACTTGCATTATGAACAGATGTTAAGACACAAAAATCTGGACTTCAGGAAGCCTTAAATGTCTACTGTCATACATACTCACTGGATACTTTATCAGGCATACTTATTCTAATGCAACTCAATGCATTTAAGCACATAAACATGGCCAAGACTAACACCAGAAGTTCAAACCGAGCACCAGAATTGGGAATAAAGGTGATTTAAGAGATAGTGAACGTGGCATGAATGTTGGAGTGATGCTGTCAACTGAATATGACATCGACCAAAATCTCCAAGGAATGTTTCCAGTACTTTTTGGAATCTGCACCACTAAGATAGCTCTAAAGGAAAAATGGGGTACAACCCAGTACTAACATGTTGAGTGTGCACAGTGCCTCTTAGAAGCCCTTTCAACACAAAGAGTCATTTATTATAATCCACTAAAATGTTATTTTGCAATATAATATGATATAGTATGCTTAATGTAAAAACAGCCACTGTACTGAATCTTTCTTTTATTTTAAAGTAAACAACCTGGCTAACCAAATCCAATGTTTGGCTTTTATCTTTCTTCTATCTTAAATCATTCCCATCTCCTCGTCTATCTGCTTTGAATATGTTTTCAACTGTTGAGAGATACAAAAACAAACTCGGAGGAAGCTGCAGGCATCACTTTTCATTTTTGAGCCAAAAACATGACAACACAAAGCATTGTTTTGACTCCACTATCATACATTTGAATATCTCTGCTCTACAGCTGCAACATTATCTGCATTTAGATCTGTTACACTGAGGGTGATATCTGATGAGGTGGTAATAAAGCTCAATACCAGGGAAGTCCCTCAAAGCCCCACTTATATGTGCTCAGACATTATACTATTTGATTGGATGCACTCATGTGAAGCTGCTATGAAATTCAAACAAAATTACACAGAGACATACTTTGGTCTCAAAGTCTTTTTTGGTGTATTGATCACTTCTATACACACACAAAGTATCTGCTCGTTCTGATGTTGTTAGCCATTTCTGGGTACAAAGACTCCAGAACAGCAAGATACTCCTGAGAGTGAAAAATACTTCAGATTTGTTAATCTCCAATAAAATAATCAATGTGGCTGTTTGACTAGGTATTACAATAAAAAGCAACAATAAAAAGCAATAACTGGATGAAGAAGGAGACTTGCAGCAATACAATTAGCAATACTGTTAGTTAGCTAAAGATGATATACCATGTCCTGACGAACATTTTATATAAAAAAACAAACAATCAAGAAACAACTGTAGCTAGCCAGAGATCTATTGTCAGGCTATTATGGACACTGGACAGGAAAGATGTAGGATGACAGGATGAATATTAAACTGTCTGAGGGTCCTCCATCTTCCAATGGTTATCCCAGTCTAAATAGAGACCTCCCTCT